GGGAAAAAATGTTCTAAAAGGTAGAAAGAAATGTACCAATACTAAAGACTTTTGAATTGTGAAATGTTTACATTTTAGGTCAACCAGGAGAAAACCGAGTCACTCTGGTGTTTTTCCTTGGGGGTGTAACCTTTGCTGAAATTGCTGCCCTGCGGTTTCTCTCACAGTTGGAAGATGGTGGCACAGAATATGTAATTGCCACCACTAAACTAATGAATGGAACTAGCTGGATAGAAGCTCTGATGGAAAAACCTTTCTAGGGTGTTCGAAGGAGACTTCTTAGCAAGGAATCTGCAGAACCAGCCGTCACTGAACAACTTGCTGAAAGGAACCAAAACCTACAGAGACTAGAAGTGCAGAAGTTGCTTTGGGGTCTGCTCCCTTGCTGCTTTCTTCTTCCTGCTTCTTCTGTGTTCCTGATTTCCTGAAGGAAGGATAATCCACATGTATATAAAAGACACTGGTTTTTGAATTTTTTTAAGTTTGGAGTCTTTAGTCAACACCTCTAGAAATACGGTAAGAAGTGCGGCGGGTAACCTGTGCGGGCATGCAAATGAAAACAGCTCTTAAAGCAGAGAGCTCAGGCTCTGCTTTGCCTTCCCAGAGGCGAAATGGAAGTGGCGTGTCTGCCATGTCATCACACAGCTGTATTTCTGTCCTAGGCTGTACATGACAACAGTGTTTGCCTGTTGATGTCCCTGAGTGGTTTCTTCATTATAGCTTTAGTTCTAGTCTCTGTCATATTTGTTCCTTAGGCTAAGCCCACAGTTTCTGTCTTTAATTGGTTCCGTCTGTGGAGGTTCCACATCTACACTGAACAACATAACAGGGAGCTGTTCCAGAGAATGTAACCCTTTACAAAAGCTTTCTTAGTGCCTAAGTTATAGTCTCGAAGATGTGACATCTCAGTGGTAAATGCCTTCACTGAGGTTTTAGTTTGCTTCCCTGTCCTACAATCCATGCACCATTCTGCTTGGAAGTGTTGAGCTTGTGGTCAGTCCCTGGTCTAGTGACCTGAGCTGCCCCTGGCTAGTCTCGTTGGCAAGCAGAAGCAAGTTGGTAGCTTTTCTGCTGTTGGCAGTTTCCAGAAAAATATTAGCTGGCTCTACCTGGGCACCATGGCTCATGCCTGAAATCCTAACTACTCAGGAGGAAGAGTTGGGAGGATTGCAGATTGAGGCCAGCCTGGGCAAAAAGTTAGTGAGACCGTCATCTCAACCAATGGCTGCATATGGTGTTACATACTCATCTTCCTAATTATAAGGGTTCAGACTAACCTGACAAGAACTTGAGACCCACAAAGATTTGGAAGTGTGGTGGCTTAGGTTGGTAGCACAAGACTCTGAGTTCAAACCCAGTTACTGCCAAAAAAATAAAAATAAAGGGTCTAGGAAGGTGGCTCAGTGGTAGAGCGCTTGCCTTGCATGCATGAGGCCCTGGGTTCGATTCCTCAGCACCACATAAGCAGGAAAAAAAAAGCTGGAAGTGGTGCTGTGGCTCAAGTGGTAGAGCTCTAGCCTTGAGTTGAAGAGTTGAGGGGCAGCACCCAGGCCCAGAGTTCAGGCCCCAGAACCGGCAAAAAAAAATAAAAACAGCTTTAAATTAACCAGTCAGTCCCCACCTAAGGGTGCCAGCCCATGTAGAGCCACTGTTGTTATTAGCCACTTACGTTTCCCTCTCACCATTTTTTACTACTGGAATTCTGATTCTGGTTATAAAAGAAATTCTGTATTAAAAACTCTCCATTATAAGAATGAAGAATGCCAGAGCAATGTTTAAAACACTTATTTCTCATAGAATAATTTGGCCTGGACATTCAGTGTTGAGAAGGGAAAATATTCCAAAATGGAAAAACATTTTTGTTTTAGAAAAATCCTTTTTAAAATACTTGTTTTCCCAGGGAGATTAGTTTATGCCTTTGGGCCTCATTAGTCTCCAGCCTCAGCTGCTTTAAAGAATGAGCTCTGCGTTGTCCAGCAATGTTTTTGGCTCCTGGGGCTCAGATCAAGTCTGGTCAGGCCTCCTTGGCTGCAGTTCCTGTCCTACAAACAGATAGCCAGTTGTAGTCTCATGTGTCTGCATTTTATACTTACCTGCTCACAGCACAGCTCTGTCAGCTCTTAAAAATGCATTTAATAGAAGACTGGAAAACATCAATTGCTTTATTTGTATGCAGGTAGAACATGGTGGATAATTATATATTATTCACCTTTGTGTAAGTTCATTTAATACTTGAAATTCTTTGTCTCAAAGTGTGTGCCCTTACTGAGAAAGAGTATGTGAACAGTGAGTTTATTCTTGGAGAAGCTAGTTTTTACCCCACGTCTGGACTTTTGTCTAGCTGGGTAGACAGTTCAATAGCAGCAGTCCCCTTCATAAAGTAGTCTGCATAGACACCATTGTCTTATTCTCTTTTGAATATTAGCCAACAGAGAGACAAGTGGTCAGTGGCTTAACTCTGGAGCAAGCACATAATGGTTAAAAGAGAATAGATTAAAAGAGGACATCTAATTATTAGTGAGAATGCTATTCCATTCTAGTCTGTTCTCAGTGGAGATGGACTGCTTATTGTGGCATCTTAGCTTGGGTCTTGTTCACTGTTGTGCACTGAAGACTAGCTCAGTGGCATATTCATGAAACCCTAGGTTCTAGCCTAGAAGTAAAAAGCAAAAAGCTAGCTTTTCACTAGGAGGAAATGTTTGTGTTTGGTGGAGTTGACTTTAAGCAAAAGTTGTGAGACAGGATCTACCTCTGTAGCCCAAATGGTCTCAAAGTCATCTCAACTTCCTGAGTCTTGAGGAATAGGTATGCACCACTATACAACAGAAAAATACTTTTTAAATATTACCAAAATGAGTCTGGCACCAGTGTCTCATGTCTGTAATCCTAGCTACTTGGGAGCCTGGGATTGTTGGGATCACAGTTCAAGGTCAGCTTGTGCAGAAAATGTCCCTGAGACCCACCTCTCAAAGCATTGCTGAACACAGGAGTGCACCCTTATTGTCCTAGCTTCCCACAAGCCTACTAAGTATAGTAGGGCAGGAAGAGTGAGTGTCTGAAAACCAGCAAAAATTAGGACTAGGGAAATGGCTTAGGAAGCTGAAGGTTCTGAGTTCAAGTCCTAATACTACTACCCAAAAAAAAATCCCCACCAAAATGAACTAGGTGTCTGAAACAGAGGGGCTAGATTAAAAGATGCCGAGGCATAGGAATGAACACAAGCATCACAGAGACTTATCTGAACTCTAAATTGTACTCTAGAGTGTGATGTATTCCATCATATGGTTTAATGATGACATGCTGTTAAATTGAGCAAGAGGCAATGGTAAGAACACTCATTTTGCACAAATACTGCAAAAAATAAAAAATGTATTTGTGCCAGACTATTGAAGTAAAAAATAAAATTTCTCAAGTTTTTCACCCTTTTGGTGGCACTGGGGTTTGAACTCAGTGTCTTGTGCTTTCAAAATGAGTGTCTTATACCTCCATGCCTCAGATTCTTACATGAATCTCATGCCATGTCCTATTTCCTAGCTCCAGCTTTGCAGCAAAATATTTCCAGAGTTGGTTGAGTAGAGGCTCAGTCTAGGCCCCATGATGGCCTTGCATCTGAAGCATGTAAGAGTTAAAGCGGAATAGATTAGGCCTATTTTGAAAAGCCTGGCCTCTTTTGATGTATGGTGAGATACAGTCCTCAGCCACCCTTTTCCATCCCGTGGCTAGGCTGGACCTGGAAGCCTTTCAGATGACCAATTCTCTGGGGAAGCAATTGACTGCTCACTGGCTTCCTGAGTGCTTGATAATGTCCTGCTCCTGTTTTCAGCCAGCCTGGGCTGAGGCCATGATTTGATAATCAGAGATCCTGATTAAATTAAGGAGCCATTTGCTCCTGAATGATGATGTTTATAAAAGGGCTGATGTCCACTCTGCCTACATGGTCTTTAAAATCTTGAACAAGTAAAATAATCAGAAGCAATACAAAGTTTGTCCTTCCTTTTCCTTCACTGTTGTGGAAGCATCTTTTGCTTTCCCAGCTGGCACCCTTGGCCTTGCACTTGGAGTTGGCACAGAAAGAAGTAGAAAGTGCCTGTGTGCTGAGGCTGTGAACTGCTAATCGGTGCTTTGCAAATTAGAATCCGGCTCTCTGGAGCTCCAGGTGTCGATGGCTCGGGTACACTCATGCATGCTCCCACTTGCCTGTCTTTCGGGACGGCAGCTCTTGCTCTAGTCTGTGTGTGGTGTTTTTGCTGGGGCTGCACTCCGCGATGAGAAATCCTCCTGGGATGTTTAGACAAGAAGGGGCTTGAACTCGCCCCCTCGTGTATGGCTGCAGTGAGGGGCTTCGCAAACCTCCGCCCGCCCGCCGCCCATCCTGTGGGCAGGAGGTGACATCGGCAGAGGGCGGGCCTGGGACTGCCTGAGCTCAGCTCGCTGAGAGCCGGGGATCTCGCCGAGGTTGCAGTTGGTCGCCAGACCACACCTAGCAGTGAGTGGGGTGCAGCCGCTGCCTGAGGCCGGAGCTCCGCCAGGACCTGGGGTGTGCGGACCAGCCTCCAGCACCCGCCGAGCCAGCCCGGAGCCGGGGCCGGGGCCGCGGGGGAGTCGTGGAAACGGCCAGGTGAGTGAACTGGGGATGGAGGTCCAGGGTTGGATTCTCACCACCTGAGGTGAAGCTGCCGGGGCCGGGGCTCCGCGCCCGGTGGGAAGGACACGAGCCCGAGAGCAGCTTGGCGCTCACGGCCGGCGCCCGGGAGGCCCCAGTCCTGACTGGGCAGAAGCAAACAGCGGGACCGTCGGGCAGAGGTGGTCAGTCCTCCGCCCCGAGGCCTCGGGCCGGGCCGGGGCAGGGCTTCCGTGGGGCCCCGGCGGCCTCCCCCGCTCGCACTGCAAATGCAGGGGGCGGCCAGCTGTCCCCCGGGGGCAGACCCGACCGGGAACACCGGCCGCGCCGCCCCACCAGCGTCCTCGGCCGCTCAGGGTCTCCCCGGCCCCGCAGGGCGATGCCGGCCTGGACCACCCTCCACGTGCTGCGGCTGCTGCGGGAGCTGCTGGCCTTCGCGCTGCTCAGCTACACGGTGCTCCTCGGGGCGCTGCTGCTGGCCGGCTGGACCACCTACTTCCTGGTGCTGAAGTGACAGCGCTGCCGCCGCC